TCAAACTCGACCGCTCGGAGGTCGGGGTGCTCCAACGCCCGGGCTTCGAACGCGTGGTGCAGCAACTCGAACGGTTGTTCCAGCTCGGGGCCAAAGCATGACGAGGTCAGGAAGTCTGTTTCGGATGGAGTTGGAGCGTCGAATTTGATCAAAGTTCCAGTGGTATTGCGCGGGTCCGAGATCGCCTGGACTAAATGCACGAAGCGGTCGAAAACATTTTCGACCACTGCAGCGTGTACTTGCGACGAATTGTAGGTCATGAAGAGGTGGAATTTGTCCTCGGAAAGGGGCGAGATCGCAATACCAAGTGTGGTGTCGGCATATTCGTGTTTTGACTCGATCGCAATGGATGCGGAGTTGACTTTAGAAGGATCGAGCGCAGCTTGGGGGTAGTTTTCAAATGCCACGACAGTGTCAAACAAGATGCGGTGTATGGCCGTCCAGCGCTTGATGTCCATGAGGCTTGCATGGGCATGGCTGACAACGTCCGTCGAGTACGTTTGCATGGTACTCAGGAATTCTGCCACGGTCGTGCGTGGCGAGACCTGCGTGAGGACGGGCACGGTGTTGATAAGCATCCCAATCATGCTACAATACACACCGTTAAGCACGACCTTGCATGATCGAACGAGTTTGGTTGAGCTTGGTGCGTTACCTCTCCACATCCGGCTCGCCGTTGTCCCGTCCTGACATGACGGCGCCGAACATAACGAACTCGCTGCGAGTGTACACATGTAGGAGTATGGCCCAAGCAGCTCGAAAGACAGTGCTTGGTGTCACACTTTGGGTCTTGCAAAGCTGCCTCAAGTGAACTAGATCAATCGATCGTTGAATGTCTCGGTACTTGAGCTCAGAGACGGTGGCATCTGGCTTGGGGAGCGCTAGGAGCTGTGTCTTGTCGGCGTTGGCTAGTGCGGCCTGCCAAAACGTTTGACACAATTCCATGTCTTGTTGATCGAGCCATTCCACGTGATCGCGGAACGGTTTAGATGGAGGGCCAGGAGCTCGTCCATTTAGAAGTGCATGCCACTTGTCCATGACCAAAGGCAAAGACCACCCGTCCATTACAGCGTGGTGCGTTGTCCACACCACTCGCAAGCTTCCGTCTAGAGAATTCAATCAGCGTGATTGACCTGGATAGTATGAAAGAGATCGCACCATCGAGAGCAGCGCAGTAGAATCGATGGAAGGATTTGGACGCCAATGAAAACCCGTCAAGTCTATCTTGGCGCATGTACGATGCCAGGAAGGCGGACCACTCGGATTTGGACAGCACGCGGTCGTGAACTGTCCACGTGGTCCAGTCGTCTTTTGGAATAGTCTGAAAGAGTCCGTGTACAGTCGATCCAAATACCGTCGACAGAAATGGCGTCGTGGCTACCAAGTCCCTCCAACTCGATCGAAGGCGGCCAAATTCACATACTCTGTCGATTCGAAGCACCGTCTGCAGGACATATTCCGATGGGTCTTGGATCATGGCAGTCAGAAGCCCTGCTTGCAAAGACGTGACGGGGTACATGTCCACGACGTCGAGCGGTCGCAGGTGGAGCGTCGACAGGATGGTGCGTTCCGCGGCTTGCACTGCAGTCGACGTCTTGAGTAGAGGAACGTCCGACAGCGTTCGCCCGCCGATGGTTGCTGGATCCAAGCAGTGAGCCACCAACTTTTCCATCCAAACACACCAAAGGTCGCACCACATGCCGACTTGATCACATCTAAACAACCAGTCGGGGACGTCCATCGTCAGGACCAGACTGTCTTCGTGGTGGTGAAGGGAGATGCTGCCAGGCGTAAAGTTAGTTTCGAGTGGGTCTGTCTGGGGGATGTTCAAGCCGTTGTACACTTCAAACAAACCGTCCTTGGCCTGCATTTCCTGGAATCGACCAAGGTAGTTGAAAGCGAGATTGTGTCGACGATGATTTTGGATAGCTGTGTTCTCTGGGGACGGAGGCACAAGGTACTTGATTGCTTCATACGACAACCCCTTGTCTGGCACGGCGCGAAGAGTTTGCTTCACGTCGCGGAGCAGGTTCGACAAACTCGACGTCGCAGTAAACACGACAGGGTACTCGCAAGTAAACCAACCGACTGTCGACGACACATCCAAGGAGGCGTTCCAAGGCTCTCGACCGTGACCTTCCATCATGAGCAGCAACTGGGTCGAGTCCACTTGCCGCATCTGGGCCAATGCGCCAGTGAGTGCAGCCAGCGCCATCTCTTGAATGTTTGTGCCGTAGACCGAGTTTGCAGCGCTTAGTTTTGTGGCGATTTGTGTCTGCAGGACAGCTTGTCCACGATGGAGCACTGCATCAGCACTAAACAAACCATTCAACCTCGTCAGAAGACAATTCGCACAGACACGTCCTTACCAGGCTGTCGCTGGTGGGGCGACGTCCATCCCCATGTAGTCTGTCCATGCCGCAGGCAACCACAGCGGTGCTTGCTTGGTCATCGCTTCAGACCAGTCTTGGAACGACGTGGACTTCGTCGCCAATGACTCGTTCGAGAGCACGGTTTCGAGGTCATTGGCAAGAATGCGCCATGAAACCATGTCAGCGATAGCGTGGTGCAACGTAAATTGGACGAACTGGTCGCCGAACGGCGTGCCAAGCAACGTGACGGCAAACACAGGACCGGTGGTCAAGTTTAAGGACTGCTCCTGGATGAGAATAGCTTCGGTAAGGTCATCAACATGGCCAATTTGGACCGCTTTCACGTTCGGAGCGGAATCTTTGACCAAGATGTGTTGTTTCCATCGAACTCCGTCATGGTCGAAGCGAGCACGCAGCATGTCATGGTGGTCAACCAGTTTGGCAACGGCCACTTTGAGCGATTCAACGCAGACAGCCTCGCGGGCTTTCAATGTCATCGACAAGTTCCAATGATGCGCATTCCGCCACGGGTGGCAGAAGCTCATGTGCTGGATGGGCGTCAGTGGAACGTCCCCAGACACGACCACATTCGACGGACGATGCGTAACGACGAGGGCAGCGGCCGCTCGAGCCATGGCTTCGAGTCGTGGGAACTTAACCACGTTTGCCGTTGACAGAGTCCACCCGAGGTGCTTCATCTTGGCGGACACCCGGATTGCCGAGATCGAGTCGCCCCCCAGGGAAATGAAAGACGTGTTGCGCCCAATTTCCTTGTCGTCCACACTCAGCACATCCGACCACACGGACGCCAGTAAACGTTCGATGTCGGTCTCATATTGGAGAAGAACAGTCTCGATGTTGGCAATTTCCAGCGCCGACCGATTGATTTTTCCATTCGAATTCATTGGCATGACGTCCAACCCGATCCAGATCGTGGGAGTCATATATGCAGGAAGCAATCCAAGCGCAAAATTCTCCAGCGACGTCTTGCACACGTCGGCAGGTGTAAAGAACCCAACAAGGTGGGACTTGTCCTTTACAACAACACAAGCTGATATGACATCAGGATGGAGCATCATGGCGTTTGCCACTTCGTCCAACTCGATGCGGTACCCCTTCAACTTGACCTGGCTGTCCATCCGCCCCAAGATCTCAAACTGACCGTTCGGCAACAACCGACCCACGTCTCC